TAAGGTAGCTGGGTGAGATTTGGAGCCTAAAGGACACCTGCCACCTGCCACCACACCGCAGTCCATTCTGGGACCTGAGGAATTGCCAACTGTTCTTTGGCCCAGACCCACAGTGAGTGTGTCAGCGAATAGGTCTTCCTGGCGTCCCGCTGTGTGCCTAGCTCTGTGCCAGGCTGTGCTGTGAGGGATGGGTTGGTGGAGGGTGTGTGTGCGGAATGAGATCATGGAGCTCCCAGACCAGTAAAGGTTATCTCTGGAGAGGCTGGGAGGAGAGCCTGGTGGGCCGAGCAGCCAGGGAAGGTGGGGAGGGGAGAAGGACTTGACTCCCTCCCGTGTACTTGGCCTTGAAGGTTAAGGTGAACACCAAACACCACAGAGCAGGGCTGTGACTGTGCCCACAGGCCGGGTGGATGTGAGTGAGTGAGTTGGTGGGGGTGGGGGTTGGGGAGTAGGCATGGGGAGACTTGATTTTGCCTCATCATACAAATTAAAACTCACATACTGATTGCATGTTCTAGGAATCACGTAGTACTCTACAAGCTGTTCTCTTCATTTCCAAGCAGCCCTCTCACACCAGTGGTGGTTCATAGATGCAGAAACTGAGGCACAGTGAGGTTAAGTGACTGCTCAAGGTCATACAAAAAGGAAACCACAGAGGCAGGGTTTGAACTCAGGTAGTCTGACTGGATGCCACATCGCAACCAACTGTGGACACCTACTTGGCATCAGATCATTTATGTATGTCATGTGGGCGAAGAGAGAAATAATCACAATTTTCCCTATCAACTCTCTCAGAGGTGCTCAGCGGCTTGCTTGCCCGAGAACCAGGTGTCGGCCAAGAAAGCTCGCTTGGTCTCTCTGGCTCCCACACTTTTCTGCCTTTGGTGGGGACAACGTGTGGGAACTACAAAGGGGGTACGTTTTCCTTCTGATTTCTCTGTGTTGACTGGGTTGTCTGGCCAGAGGCAGAGGAAGGGAGTCTTCTGGGAGCTCAGACATGGATGGTTACCCCCATTCTTTTCCCTCTCCTCAGGTCGGGGTGTTAGTGGTCCCTTTATTATTATTATTTTTGTATGTACACTCCTCTTTATTCGACACGACAAACACGGGACACATACAAAAGAAGAAGCACTCACGAAAAGAGCTGCCACCAACGGCAGCATCTCCACGCAGGTGAACGGGGTACGGGCTTGAGCCTGGCTGAAAGGGAATCCCAGAATGTGAGCCCGGCTGCTGCCAGGGAGAGAACCCCTGTGGGGAAGGAGGACCCCCTGGGTTCTGGCTGGGAAAGTCTCAGCCCTCTCTCTCTCATTTCCAAAGTTCATCATGGTTTAAAAAATGAAGATCTGATTTTTATTTTTTTGGTTAAAAAATTTACCTGCTTAAAAAATAGAGGCCAGCAACTCCCAGAGTGGGCTCTTGGCTGTAGGCGCCTCAGGCCCACCCAGCACTGGACGGGCTGCTGAATAGGCCCCAGAGAGGGGCCTGGGCTCAGGGCAGGGGCCCTTGGGTGGCAGCAGCCTGTCCACATTCCAGCGCCATAGTGGTCCCTTTATACACTCTGCCTTGACCACTGGCGTGGGCCCACAACAAACAAGAAGTCGGGAGTGGAGTTTCCCTTGGAGTCCTGATGACAGGACTGGTCTATGCATGTCCTCTAAGTCCAAGTCCTTCATCTGCCCCCTTCCCAGCTGTTCTTGCAGGGAAGGGCAGGCCTGCCCTTGAGGCCAAGGTCAGCTCTACCACTTCCCTCTAGTGGAGGGTTGTGAGAACCAGCCAAAGGCTGGGATAAGTAGGAAGGAGAAACAATAGCAACCTCCCCAATTGTCCTCCCACCCAAATAACTATTTCTATGACAACCCACCCCCACAGAGCAGCTTAAGGAAAAGCTGTAGGCCAGGAGGGTAAAGACAGGGGTTGGAGATGCGGCTCGACTCCTGAATGACTTTGTGATTGTGAGCAGGATCTGGCTTTCTTCCAGCCTCAGTTTTTCTCCCTCTGGGGATGGGCATTGGAACTAGCTCTCCCAAGGCCCTGCTTGTAAATGTAATCTAAGGATCTCAACCCACAGTCAGGATGCTTGGGGTGGGCTATGAAAGGCCTGATTTGGATAGAGCAACGAGGAAGCCTTGCCCCAGCATTCCCAAGGCTGAACTGTGCATGTGGAGGGAGGGGACAGGGTGATTCAAGTTGGAGTGGCCTCTGACACTGCCTCTCTCGCTAACTGCTTACCCCCTTCCTTGTTTCCAAAGGGATCGTGTGAATGAGGTGTTTCTTTTTCTCTTAAGAGAGGGTGAGAGATACACTAACAACTCTAGTATAGGTTGATAGAGCTGTTGGAACCCAGGAAGGTCCTCCCGAAAGAGTGACGTGGTTGGGCTTATGCTCCAGAAAGACCACTCTGGAGGGGGATCCCTGGTGTTCACTCTAGCTCAGTGTTTCCAAGCGCTCAAACTGTGTGTGTGTGTGTGTGTGTGTGTGTGGCAGGACCACAAAAGCAGATGCCTAAACTTTCTCCTGGATTATGGGCACAAAAGTTTTTCGTTGCTGGGGGAGGGGTGGTGGTGCTGAGTTTTTGTTGATTTGTTCTCTGAAAAGGGGGAGGTAGCCCAAATAAGCTTGGGAACCTTTGCTAGTTGAAATGGCTTCTCCACCTCTTTTCCTCAGACCTCCTTAACTCCCAAGTCTCGGGGTATGCCCTTTATTCCACAAAGCCTGTCCTCTAGGTACTTATGGTCCCTGTGGAGCAATTGTTTCCCCTAACAGGGCATTACACTGTATTTTGAGTCTAACTTGTTTCATTGTCTTACTTTACCCACTAGACTGTGCACCCTTCGAGGGCAAGAAATGCTATCTTTTCTTCCTTCATTGACCGCCCTCTAGATCTATCCCCCACTCACTGCCATTGAGTAGATGCCGACTCATAGTGACCCTACAGGCCAGGGTAGAACTGCTCCTGTGGATTTCTGAGACTCTAACTCTTGATGGGAGTAGAAAGCTTCATCTTAGCTGGTGGCTTTGAACTGCTGACCTTGCAGTTAGCAGCCCAGTGTGTAACCCGCTGGGCTACCAGGGTTCCTTTGCCAGGCCTATAAAAACTCTCATTGCCATCAAGGCAGTGCTGACTCAGAGCAACCCTACAGAGCTGGGTAGAACTATCCCTGTGGGTTTCAGAGACTGTAACTGTTTACAAGAGTAGAAAGCCTTATCTTTCTGCCTGAGTGTAGCTGGTGGTTTTGAACTACTGACCTTGCAGTTAGCAGCCCATCACATAACCCCCTATACTCCCAGAGCTCTTCTTGCCAGGCCTATAGGGAACCTTTAGTAAATGTCTGTTCCATTACAGAATGGATCAATTCTCTCTTGAGGAAGGGCAGGGAAGGTTTCCTAGCCTAGAGGGGACACTTGTAGAATGAATCGAGTCTGGAAATCTCAGTTTAGATGTCAGACTAAAAAAAAAAGATGTCAGATGGAGCAATGCATTAACTTCCATTCTCTTCTAAAATTCCAGCAAAATACAAATACATGGTTCTTTGGAAAGGTCAGGCACCATGACGATAAGGAGAGTAGAGAGAAGATTCTAGGAACAAAATTTTGGAAACTGAAAAGCAGAAGCAAGAGTGAGTGGTAACTAACATTACAGATTTAAAAAAAACCAACCTGAATCCCAAACCAGCAGAGGGAAAAATTGAAAATCAAAACATCTTACATTATATAAGGCCTCGAAATTTTAGGAATTATAAGCACCAGGTATTTCTGGAACTGGATGTGAGGGAGGGACTGAAAATGAAGCAGCAGGTTGAAAGTCAGTTTAAAAATCGCTTTCCGAACTGTGCAACCAGGTGCTGGCAGCTCCCAGGTTAGAAGACACCAAGCACAGATGAGGATGAGGGGATGGATCTAAAATGTACTAGATATACAAAACACTCCCCCCATCCTTCCAGAATCCTGAAAGCCTTGCTTATTACATTATACTCTCTGTAACAGAAGGTAGGAACCCTGGTGGCATAGTGGTTATGAATTGGACTGCTAACTGCAAGGTCAGCAGTTCAAAACCACTAGTTGCCTTGAGGGAGAAAGATGAGGCTTTCCATTCCGTAAAGAGTTACAGTCTCAGAAATTCAGTGGGGCAGTTCTACCCTGCCCTATCGGGTTGCTATGAGTCAGACAGTGAGTGTGGGACAGCCAAAGGACAGCATTTACATAGGGACCAAATTAGGAAAGGAGGAGGACGAGAAGCAGGAAATCCGGGGAGGAAGCGGGATAAAGGGTGTTGGGCGTTCTTCTGGTCTTAGGGTGTAGGGGCTAATGTTCACTACTGGGGGTACTGTGAGTATGAGATGAAGCCAACTGCGGATGATTTGTACACCTTCAGCCAATTCACAGGAAACAGTTACAAAATAAAAGGGCCTATGAAGAAGCCAATAATTAGTATGAAACAGACCCACGTCGGCAAGTCACTCACTGTAAAACTTAGAAAATAGCAACAAGGAGAGGAACCTAAAAATACAGACAGGAGCAATGGAGAAGGTCAGGAATCAGAATAGCATCTGACTTTTAAAAGTATATTACTGGGAAACACAGGGAACCCAGGACAGATGACTCCTTCAGGACCAGTGGTGAGAGTGGCGATGCCTGACGGGTAGAGGGAATGTGGGGTAGAAAGGGGGAACTGATTACAAGAATCTACGTATAGCCTCCTACCTGGGGATGGACAGCAGAGAAGAGGGTGAGGGGAGACGTCAGACAGTGTAACATGACAAAATAATAATGATTTATGAATTATGAAGGGTTCATGAGAGAAGGGAAGTGAGGAGGGAGGGGGAAATGAGCAGCTGATATTATGGGCTCAAGTAGAAGGCAAATGTTTTGAGAAGGATGAGGGCAACAAATGTACATATGTGCTTGACAACAATGGATATATGTATAGATTGTGATAAGAATTGTATGAGCCCCCAATAAAATGATTTAAAAATATATATATTACTGGAAATTCAAATAGTATCTTAAATGCTGAGGGGAAAAAACCCCAATATTTTCATACTAAAATCCCAAACCTGGTCAAACTACCATTAGTGTGAGGGTAGAGTAACATTCTTAAACATGCAAGGCGTCAACAAATTGATCTCCTGTACAGACTTCCTCTGGAAGCTCCTAGAGAAGTAAATCAAGAAAGAGCAAGACCTGAGATTCCCAGGAAATAGGGACCCGACTCAGGAGAGTGGCAAAGGGACTCCCATCCCCAAGATGACGGTGAAGGGAGCCCCTCAGAAGCCATCTGTGCAGAGGACAGAGGGGATCGCATCAGAAGGTCACCCAAGGAAGTTCTCCAAGGAGAAAGCGAAGAACCTGGACACCTGAGGGAGGGCGTGGGGTTGGTGAGGAGCCCTGGTGATACCGGGGCTGAATGCTCAGCTGCTTAACCCAAAGCTCTCTCAGTTCAAATCCTTCAAATGCGCGGTTCAAATTCGCTAGTCCCTCCCACAAGATGTGAGACAGTCCGCTCCTGTCAAGATGTGCAGCCTTGGACGGCTGCTGCCTTCCTGGTCGGCGGGTGGTGCCAGGGAACCCTTGAGATGCTCTCTCCCAGGCTCTGTTCATGGCCCGTGGAAATCAAAGAGAACTGGCCCGCCAGAAAAACATGAAGAAAACCCAGGAGATTAGCAAGGGAAAAAGAAGAGGGTCGCTTGACGGCCTCTCAGAGGAAGCAGAGGGATTGTGAGATCATGCATCAAAAGCAGAAGGCAGCTAAGGAGAAGTCTATGCAGACAAGAGAAAAATGATGACTGGCTGGTTTGGAACACCTGGTGCTCCTGCCAACGAGGTGTATCATATGCTCTGAGATCAAGATTTTGTAGAGTGAGCCATCATTACATATGTTATAACTTATCCTTATAAAACGGTCGATTTTAAACTTTACCTTTCAACCTGATGTAGTGTGATGTTTTAGAACCATTCTTCAAAAACTAAAACACTAACCATGCATGTAAAAAAAAAAAAGCTGTGCAGCCTTGGAAACCGAATGGGGTAGTTCTACTCTGCCCCGCGAGGTCACTATGAGTCGGAATACATTTGATGGCAATGGATTTCTTTTTTTAAGTGGGATTAATTAGTGGTAGTCCTAGCAAATTAAACAACGACAACTAAGGAAAATGAAAACGTGTGAGCAAGTAAAGTACTTAGCTGACCGAAGAGCTGGGAATGGCATTCCAGGTCTTACACGGCATGGTTCCATTGTCCGTGTGAGCAGGATGGGATTGTGAGCTGGGCTCTGTGTGGCAGGAGAGTTGGCAGCGTGCTGAAAGAGGCACATCCGAATCTTCTGCAGTGCGGGAGTTCCCGGACAATTCGCAAGCCTAACTAATCTCTCTTAGGATCCATTTAAATTCGTTCTAGTTTTTATAATTTACTGCTTTCTTTTCGACTGAGGATTCTGTCAGTTTTACCTTGTTATTATTGTGTTTTAAAAATTATTATTAATCATTTTATTGGGGAGGCTCTTACAAATCTTATGACAATCAATCATTCCATTGTATTAAGGACACTTGTACATCGGTTGCCATCAACATTTCCAAAACATTTTTCTTTCTACTTGAGGCCTTGGTATAAGCTCCTCTTTTTTCCCCTCCCTCCCCTCCCCTCCAGTATTTGCTTTTTTTTTAATTAATGTTTTTCTGTATATGAAGTCCAGAATAGCTAACTCTACAGAGACAGTCACTCGATTAATGGTTCCTTGGGGGCATAGCAGGGGAGGTTGAGGAGTGGGGGAAATGAGGATCTAATAACAATGAGTATAAGAGTGAAGAAAATGTTCTCAAACCGACTGTGGTGATGATTGTACAAGTATTTTTGATGCAATTGAACCATTTAATTGTGTGATATGTGAATTATATGCCAATAAACTGTTATGTTAGGAAAGGGGGGGGGGAGAAAATTCCCAAAGTGGAAAAATCAAGAAGTAGTGATGTAAACATGTTACCGTACATACTCAAGTGTAAGCCGACCCAAATATCAGCCAAGGTACCTAATTTTACCACAAAAACTGCATTAAAAATGTGCTGAAAAACTCAGCTTCTACACGCGTATCTATGGTATTTAGAGATTAGGAGGTGGATGTGAAAAGAAGAACTCACACATGAAACAGTTGTCTCTGGGAAGTGGGATTTAAGATTGGATGAACTGTTCTTTTTTTATAATAGACCTTATAGAACAGTTTGCCTCTTTAATTGAGGTGGTTTTAAAATTAAAACCATCTTAAAAATGATATATGGCAGGACCTTGGGGTTAGAGGAAAATGTGCTCAAGGTGAAGCTGAAGAGGTGAGTCAGAGCTGTATTATGACAGGCTTTTAAATGCCGGCTGCTAAAGTGTTTAGATTTCATTCTCTAAGAGCAGCAGAAAACCCATAAAGCCTCTTGAACAGGGAAAGGACAGGCTCAGACTTGTGCTTGAGGATGGTAACTCAGGGACGCTTAGTTGTACAGGACCCGAGAGATTGCCCAGTAAAGCAAACGTATTCCCAGCCCAGATGGAATTTTCTGTTAACTGTGGTCTGGCCAGCTCTCCTTTCCCTGGGCACCTACTACCAACACCCTGAAGAGGCTGGGGACCCAGGCTGGCTCTCGCTCGGTTCCCCAGCCCCTGCCTCCTTTTAGCACAGTCTACTTCCCAATTAACACCTGGTTCCTTGTCAGGGTGTGCTTTGGCTAACAGACTTACTGGTCAACCTGGACCCCCTGATTCAATACCTAGTACCCCCAAACCCACACTTCCAGACCTTTCTAGTCCCAGGTTTCTTCAAAGTGAAGTTCAGCTGGGTAGGCCATAAGGTGAGGGCCTCCGGAAATACTGGAAGCACATGGCCCAGACCTCTGCTAACCTTTTCTCCCACTCCCCCAGGCTTACCTGCGTGCCATCGATGTGCAGATCCTGCAGCAGCTGGTGACCCTGAATGAGGGTATTGAGGCGGTGCGCTGGCTCTTAGAGGAGCGCGGGACGTTGACCAGCCACTGTAGCAGCCTCACCAGCAGCCAATATAGCCTGACAGGCGGGAGCCCAGGCCGTTCGCGACGGGGCAGCTGGGACAGCCTGCCAGACATGGGCTCCACTGATCGCCTGGACAGTGTCTCCATCGGCAGCTTCCTGGACACGGTGGCCCCCAGCGAGCTGGATGAACAGGGCCCCCTGGGAGCTCCCCCGCCAGAGATGGACTGGGCGAGGGTTATTCCCGGTGGGGAGAGGGCACGAACTGAGGTGGGCCTGACAGCTACCAGGCTGGAAGGATTGAAAGCTGGGTGGAAGTCCCCAGGGGAGGGGCTGCCTGTGCCACCAGAGGACGGGAGTGTCAAGCTGGGCTTTGAGACCCATTGGTACTGGGGCCAGTGCCAGGATGACGTGACCTTTTTGTAAACATCTCCTGTGGTTTCTCTTATCTCTGAGCTCTGCTCTCCCTTAAAACTCTCTAAGAGTCTGAGGCTAGTAAGCCGTTGCCTTGATGTGTGTACTCTGTGGTTACCATGGAAACCTGGCCTCACCATCTCCTTGGTCCCTGAGGAGCCCCTGGCCTTCACCCCTCAGTTATGAGTCCCTACCACCATTTCCTTAGAGACATTGACCCAAGAGGCAGGGCCTCCAGTGTCTGGAGTGGCCCTAGCCCCACCTGCACCCCTCCCACTCTGGTAAGGATTTGAGGAATTTAGGATTGCTAGGGGGGCCCTGGTGAAGAGGCAGGTGTGGTTACCTTACCCCAGGTCTAGACCATTGAGCCCACTCCCGGCTAAGGTGGGCGGTGACTGAAGAAAGAGACATGCAGGACTAACCCTCCATGGAGTAGCCCTCCCAGAGGCCTTTTGAGTGAGTTAACCACCGTTCCTGTCTGTGGAGTGATGTCATTTCCTGCCAAGAGGGATTACCACTTCCTCTGGAACAGTCCTTGGTCAGTGACAGATGAGTAAAGAGGTGGCAGGAGCCCTTGCTGCTGCTGGGTGACATCAGACCATTACTTTTGGTGACCGGAAACCCTGGCCCCTTCGGGCAGGAAGTTTTCTCACTTTCTCACAGCTGCCTGTTCTTGTTTTCAGAAAGGTTACTTCTTGATCAGTGGTCTCATTTCATCTACAGGCTCTCTCCTTTCCCCGGGGCTGCATCCTTGTCTTCTGCGCCTCGCCCTGTGCTTTGAGGGAGGGAGGCTGGTGGGGGAGGAGGTCTGAAGGGGTGCTCTACCATCTCTTCTCAATCAAACCCTGTGGCCTGGCCCTGCCACAGGTCCCTGTCTTCCCCAGGCCCTGGGTTGCCCTGTCCTTGTCTTCTGCCCCAAATAGGTTGACCAGGACATACAGCCCTCTCAGCTTTCTCTTCAGACGTCTGACCTTTTGCTGGGGGTCTCAGGTCTGGGGGAGTACGTCACAATTTCAGATGAGAGGACATTGTTCTCTGATCCTGTGATTCTCCTTCCTCCACCCAGCTCCAAGCCTTCCACCACTTGGGCACATGGATGCCTACTGCAGGCTGGGACACAAGGAATCCCCTTGTCTGGGGAACAATGGGGGCGTGGCATGGAAAGACAAAAGTTCTTTGGTCCCTGCGCCCACAGGAGCTCCTGGGGAGGGAGGGAGAGAAAGGCTTCTTTCCTCCTCTAGAGGAAGCCCGAGACTCCTGAGACCTGGTGAAGGGAGCAGGGGCCTGGCTCTGGGCGTGGGTCCCAGGGCCCTAGTGAATTACACCAAGGGAGAAATTCAGGGACACTGCCAACCTGGGGCCCAGAGAAGGGACCGGCATAGAGAAGCTGGGTGAGGGACTAGGCTAAGGCTGAAGGCTTGAAAATTGACTCTTTGAATCCCAGATAATTGCCCCATTTGGCAGTTCTTGTTTTCCCCAGAGGCCCTGAAACTAAATTCCTGGCCAAGAACTATTAATTGGCAAAAAACAGATAAACCAAAACCTAAACGAAAGGCTAAAAAGGAAAGAAAAGGATGTCAGGTGGTCTTTAGTCACAGTGCCCATCTTTGGGGCTCTTCTCCAAATCCTGCCAGGAAGAAGGGTCTGGGATTTCCTTTCACTGTTTCAGCTGATTCAAGAAACTAAGCTTATTCTACAAGCCTGAGACAGAAGGCAAGAGTGGGGCTTGCTACCTCTAAACTGCTCTGAGAATCCAAGGAAATCGAGCAGGTTATTTACACCCAACTATGTGACAAAAGGAGGTTGTGTAATGATCCCAGGAAACAATTCGCTGTATGTATATTCCACACACACCCCGCCCCCAAGGGTTATGTTTAGCAGGAGTTTAACATGTACCAAACCACCATCCCCTGCTCCACTGCTTACCTAAAAAGGGGGGCGGGGGGGTGTGGGCACTTCATGCCTGGTTACCTGTCCCAATGGCCTGTTTACAGCATCCTAGTCAGAAGATGGTCCTACTATTTCAGCTTCAAAGGAGTTTGTACTGCAAGGGAGGGGGCTGATGCATGCTGCTACAGAAAACTCCATTTTGGATTTCAAGCAAACTAAATCTTCAATTTTGTCCTATTTCTAGGGTTTTGATTAACAGCATGCTCTTTTATACCCCCCCCCCTCCCATATCCCCACTTTGCAGTCTGTGCTGAGGAAAAGAAGGAAGTCCAGGTGATTGCCCCTACTTCCCCTAAACCCCCAAAGTTTTGTTTTAACAAGCTCCATGCCAGACTTTCTGGGGCATACTGTCAATCTTTGCCACCCCTAAAGACACGGTTTTCACTCCTCTGCTGAAAATGGGGGAATTCTCCAAAGTATTATATTCTCAGTCTCTCCTTTCCTTACTACCCCTCCTGGGCCTGGGGCTCTGACCTCCCGCTATGCTGGGAATTTGAATACCCTGTTCTAATCTCTGCTGTGGAGAGGATCTAATCTCTATCCCAGGAGAGGAAGCCTCAGTTTTCCTTTTAGAAGCTGTCTGGTTGGTGAAGTTGCCCAACCTGAGTCTAAGTGAAGAAGATGCTCGCCATCTAGTGGTCATTGTGTGCCATTGCCAGGGGTGTTGTCTGCTGTGGAGTTCGGGATTCCCAGGAATCCTATGAAACAGAGGGTTTGGTTTCCTAGGGTGTAATCTTTATGGGAGCAGATGGCTGGGCTGTTAGTTCTCAAGAAGCTGCTGGTGGGTGTGAACCTCTGACCTTTTCCTCTTCCTCGTGGAATCCCCAACTCCAGGGGAGAGGGCTGAGTGGAACCTCCAAGTTCAAATAAGACCAGTGTATTCCTCAGTGCCCAATAGGGCAGGAACTTGTCCAGGGTAATCCATTATAAAGCAGTAGCAATGCCCAGGTGAAGGAACCCCCATCTTATGCCTTGCCACCCCCCCAGCTCCATCTAGTTAGCCAGATTGCCCACCAACATAAAGGGACTGAAACCAGTTTTCTTACAGTCGGGTTCTCATGCCACCCTGAGAGGTAGCTCAGTCTTTGGGTGCTGAGAAAAGAGAGCCTGGGTCCAGACGGGGGTGGGACGCACTCTTCTGGACAGTAGACAGTAGACAAGGGAAATTCATGCCAGATCAAACATTATCCGTGAAAGGGACAGGTGCGCTAGTCGACCCGGGCCTGCTGGGAGCAGAGCTCCTCATTCCATTCCCATGGATACCCTGACCGGACTGGAGGCCAGGAACTCTGAGACTTGGGACTCCAGATGGGGCCACCAGGGTTGGGGTATCAGGTCAACTGAGTAGGCACCTGAAGGTGCTCGCTGGAGAGGTGGGGTGACTGGGACTGCCAGGAAACTCCTGGTAGGTCTGGGTGTCCTCCCCTAATCCCTTAGACTCCAGTGAAGTGTCAGACAACCCCAGTGGACACACATCCTTCGTCCTCGCTCCCTGCTACCGGAATGGCTGGCTAGGGCTCAGTTCTCCTGTTAATTTAGCCTGTCTTATGTCAGCGCAGTTGGGGAGCTCAAAGAGAAAGAAAGTAGGACAAGAGAGAGAGCAGAGAGGCAAGAGAAGAGATGAAAAAGGGGTGTTGAAGATGTGTTCCGGGGGAGCACTTTGCCAGGGCGTGGGGAGTAGAGACAGAGATAAGAGATAAGGCATGGTAGCTGTAGAGGTCTGGCGGGGCTGGGCGCGTCAAGGAGACAGGCCCACGTGAGTAGGCAGGTGCAAGGTCTTCCTTGGTTTACAGTCCTTTCCCCTTGCCTTCAAAGCCAACCGTGTATGTAGCATCTTCTTATTTTAATTGTGAAAATATCCAACAAAGCATTTGCCAATTCAGTAATTCTCTCCTTTTTGACTGCTCCTGTTATCTTTTGATCCACCTGTACTGCTTCTCTTTTATGAAGGCCTTGGTGACTACATTGGGCCTACTGGAATAATCCAGGGTTAGCCCCACTCCCCCCTTCCCCATCTTGAGATCCTTAATTCATAATCCCTTTTGCCATATAAGGTGACTTAACGTGGATTGCTCTGGGGATGGGACGCATGTTTCAGCCTATCACAGGCAGGGATGAAAGTTGGGCCGGAGATTGCCCCCAAACCCAGAATGAGAGGGATGGTGCCAAGAGGGGGGTCTCATGTCTAACAACCTCAAGTGCTTCATATGCTGGTGATGCTAGGGAGAGCAGTTGGGAGAAATTCTTAATTATTACTAGTGGCCCCTTCAGGTCTGGGCCCTTCCTGTGACAATTCCAATAGGCTTTGTGTTCACCACTGCCTCCTCTCCGGAACCATTCTGTGCTCTGGCTCCCGCACGCAGCAAACTAACGTGGACACTTTGGAAAGGGTAGATTAGTTGTCTTTAAAAAAAATTCTTGTTTAAAAAGTTTTAGTTAAAAAAAAAAAGTTTTAGTTAAGTCATCTTCCTGAAAGCACAGAAACTCTTGACAGTTGATACTAGAGCTTTCTGATTTTCTTATTACTTTTTAATTGCCACTCAGCATTTATTTTATTCCCAATTTACATATTCAGGTTGGTAGGATTTCAATGCATTTTCATCCACAGGAATTAAAAAAACAGCACATAGAGCTTATATCCAAGGTACACATTGTGGCGCATTTTACCTTTTAGTTTTAGGAAAAGGTGCTGAGCTGCTTGTGCTCTGGTTTACTTTTCTTCTTTTGATCCTTGATTCCTGTTTGCATTCCTTTCCCATGCGTATATAGTTTTGAGTATGTGTGTATGTGTATCTTTGGAAAAAACATTTAATATTGATGCACTTACATGTTTTAACATATAAATGATATACTTTTACATAATCGAATTTCTGTAATGAGCTGCCCCCATATCTCAGTGATTTAACACATTAAAGGTTTATTTTCACATATTCAACAATCCAGTGTGTTTGTTCCTGGTTGACCAGCTCTCTTCTACACCCGCTTTGGGCCTCTGCCTCCTTCCACTATTTAGTGATGAGTCTTTTTTTTTTTTTTAACTTGAAAAGCTGTGTTTATTGAAGAATTTGAAGGACGAGCTTCATATTATAATAAAAATACTAAAGTTGAATGTTGTCAAAAACCGCCAGGGAGCAACATGGGTGGCCTACAGCGGCGTGGAGGGTTGGGCCCCCTTCAGAAGGGCCAGCCTGGGTGGGGTGGGCGCTAAGCCCAGCGGAAACAGAAGCCTCTATGAAGGACAAGTGCTAAGTGGGGGTCTTGGGTGGGTGGATGGGCAGTGGGGGTGGGGGTGGGGAGTGGTGGCAGTAGGACATAATGGGCGCATGAGGGCCGGAAGCCACTCCTGTCTCCCAGATTTGGGCCTGGCCTCAGCAGTCCGGGAGGCATGCCAGCCCAGGGGCTGTGGCCTAAGTGCCAGACAGGGACAAGTCAGACCTAGGACCTGTTCCCGGAGATCTCCCTGTTCCCAGAGATCTCCCTGTTGGGGCTGGAGCACAACCCGGATGAAATAAATTAAGAAAACCCCCAGGGCCGCAGCTTCCGGACCAGCTCGCAGGTGGCTGCGCAAGTGCAAGTGTGGAGAGCACACCCCATGGCGCCTGGTGGGCATGGGGGGTCGGGCAGGCCCCGGGCCAGCAGTGACACCCTCATGTTTGGAGTCAGCCTTCCATCAAGTGGTGTTACCATCATCGATGAGCCCTCTGAGTTGTATTTCATTAGGGATTAAAAAACGGTGATTAACTCATGTTACCATTCCTTATTTAATAACGAAATTCTACGCAGAAAGATCTATATTGTGTCGACCATTTAGCTATCCTAAAATAAAGTTCATACCAGATGGCGAGATGGATGCGTAATTCTCTTTCCTTGTGTCTAGCTTCCAGAGTAGTATGGTGGTGTGCTAGCAACAGCTAGCGGTCTTCGGAAGCTTGGTTCTGCTTCTCCCTCTGGTTGTAAACTTTAGTTATGAACTTTCAGTTTTTATCTATTCAGTTCCCTTTAATCACTTGCAGTGATATGTGTGCTCTGTTATATAAGACTTTAATCATAATGCAAAAGCAGAGAAAATAATGTAATGAATCACCATGTACCTATCACCCAGTGTCAATACTTAGCAATTGATAACCAATCTCGGGTTATTTATTTCCTTATTCAACAGTCCAGTTCTACTCTCTCCCTCACCTGAGATTATTTTGCAGCGAAACCAGATAGCATCCCAATGTAGCTGTAAACATTTCAGTATTCATCTCTAAGAGATCTAAATATGCATTGCCATTATAACACCTAAAAAAACCCACATCTGTATAATCAAATAGAGTTGGTGTGTAAATGTTCCCAATTCTCTGATAACCTATAAAAATTAAAAAGTTGTGAGAATCAGGATCCAAATAAGAGCCAGGCACTGCAATGATTGATGAAGATCTTTTAGGTCATTCTCACTGGCTCTATAGGTTCCACTCCATCCTTGTCCCTGGTCTTTTTTGGGGTTTTTTTTTTTTTTGGTTGGGGAATAAAATGTTATTTGTCCTATAGAATTCCCTACAGTCTAGATTTTGATTGTTGCATTCTCATGATGGCATTTCATAGGTTTCTGTTTTCTTTGATTTGGGGCAGTTAAGTTTAGAAGCTTCCTACATTCAGGTTTCATTTGTTTGGGCACGAATATGTCAGATGTGGCCCAGTGAGCTTACATGAGGAGGCATCTCCACACGCAGCTGTCTCTTTTCTTTAATGTGAGCAACCACAGATTCTTTGTGTTAGTCCGAGTTGACTAGAGAAACAAATTCATTGACACTCATATGTGTATAAGAAAGAGCTTTATATACAAGAGCAATTGAATATTGAGAAAACATCCCAGCCCAGTCCAGATCAAGTCCATAAATCTGATCTTAGCCCATATGTCCAATACCAGTCTATAATTTCCTCTTCAGACTCACACAACACATGCTTTCTCACTCCACCCTGTGTGTGGACCAGGAAGCCCACTGCTCTATATCTTGCTCTTGGTTCTGCTTCTTTGCCACTTCTCTGCTCTCTGTTGTCACAGTTCTGTTTCCTAGATCAAGGAGGTTCATTGCAGGATCCCAGTATCTAAATGCTGGGTGCTACTCCTGTTTTTTTTTTTTTTTTTTGGTAGTGAGATTCTCCCTTTCCCCCTTTGAGATGGTTCCTTTGAAACTCAGTGGGATGGAAAAATTGACCACTTCTCACATTGGGGTGCCATCCATTTTATTTACCTGGTCTCTATTCACAAGGGTAACATTATTTATATTATTAGCAAAGATTCCAATCTTCTTGGTGGGCCATAAACACCTCACATTTGCACATGCCTACTCAATTATGGCTAGAAGAGCCCTATCAAGTAAATCACTGCACTGCACCTGGTAACCAAAAGGTTGACAGTTTTGCAAAAGAACTAGATCTGATCATCTGCTTCCATAAAGATTAGAGCCAAGAAAACCCTATGAGGCCATTCCACTCAGTAACAGATGGGTTTTCGTCAAAGTCACAAACCAACAACAAAAACAAAACAAATAACAAAAGGATGCAGAAACTAGTGGGAAAGAGCTCTGCTTTTCAGCATTAAAAACAATAACGAATGTGGCAGTTACATAATCTCCTGTCAACTTGCGAAGGGGTGGAGTCTACCCTGTAAATCAGGTCGCAGCTCGATGACCTCATTGAAGGCACTAAGGAGATAAATAGCTTGCTGGACACAGGACACAGACATGCCCTGTGAGACATTCCCGTTGCCAAGCTAGATGGAGCTACGCTGATGACAGCCAGAGCCTTGGAGCTGGAGGAGCCATGTGGAGATCCACACCAGGGCTAAGATGCTTCAACAGCCTCTGGACCCACAAGACTTTCCACTCACTGGCCTGTGATCTTCCTGCACTCAGCATTATGTGTTGTGTGAGTCTGAAGAGGAAATTATAGACTGGTATCGGACATATGGGCTAATATCAGATTTATGGACTTGATCTGGACTGGGCTGGGATGTTTTCTCAATATTCAATTGCTCTTGTATATAAAGCCCCAGCAAGGCAGAACACAAGTGGCTATAAATCTGAGAGCTAAAGGAGTTTTCTAACATTTGCCCAAATTAGGCAGAGGTCAAGGAGCTGGGGATTGAGAGGCCAAAGGGCTGAGGGCCAAGAGGCCAAGGGAACATGGCTGAAAAGAGCTTGTCCGGCAAGAACTGTATCCTGAGCATTTCTGATCCTCAATTGTAATCAGTTAACTTCCCTAGTAAACTTTGCAATTTTAAGTATTGTCTGTGAATTCTGTGTGGCCACTGCAGTGATCACCACACCAGCGGAGAAGTTGAACGTGTAGAGTGCTGTGGGAGAACAGTTGTCATTAGATTGGTCAAGGTGGGAGGCTGGATGCATACCTGACCTTTGCCTCATAGCAATTACTTTAGGCCGACATTGATTTTGATTCTCTCTGTTCCTTGTGAAATTAGAAGAGGTTTGGTGCTGCTACTATGGGAAACAGAAGGATTTCTCTCAAGCTTTCTCCTCAAATATATGCCAGACTTAGCTGCTTGAGAATGACTATACACTTGGAGGTCATCAGGAGTAGATTAGGGGTCATTCTCCCTAAGAGCTATCAGCCATCTAGACCAAGCAGACACCACTGTTTATCCCAAAACAAGCAGGGCCCACTCCCTTCTGATACGGATAGTAGCTGTCTGTTTCCTTCTAAGAGACACCAGAGAGGTCAAACGCGCCCAAGGACGACCAAGGTTAGGCTGCCATCATGAATGTAGGGTCTGCCCATCTTGTCACATGTATACCCCTAGACTTTCCCATTCCTGTGGGCACACCCCTAGCTCATCCCCTTCCTGTTACGCTTATGCCTATCATACATCCCCTTCCTACAATGTGTATGCCTATTGTACTGCCCCTTCCTGTGACGTGTGGTTACCTGTAATCATGTCCCCCTAAAGAGATATAACGCTTGGTTAGCAATAAAGAAGAAGCTCTCCCTGGTCCTCACTCCTGGGGGCGCTCTCCTGCTCTTGTAGCCGGCCTCTCCCCATGAGGACCACCAAGCGAGGCTGAGGTGAGCATGCAACCATGAATTGTGTCTGACTCCATTAATTCAATCTCTCCTCTATCTCTCTTGCTTTCTATGACTTTACTATAATCTTTACTTATTATCGCTGTACAATTGCACCTACCGGACCTGTGATGATTTGTGGGGGACCCTCTTTTCACCCCACACTGCTACCAACCATCTTTCCCCCCACGCCATTCTTATACCCGCTGAGCACAAACTACTTAGATCACTCAGGGACCTTGGTTTCCATATCCTTTTTTTTTTTTTTTAAGTTTTTTGACAGATGATTCACATATCATACAATCCTTTATAGTAAGAAGAGTTATAGATCCGCACAATCGCCTTCAAAACATTTGCTTCATCCTGATACTCGTTATTCGCTCCCCATTTCCCCCCAACCTCCATGCTTGCTATACTTCCAAGAAACCAATTACCCAGTTACTGTCTCTACATTTACCTGTCCTACATGTCACCAACAGAAAAGCATGCCCCAAAGCCTCTAAAAACCAAAAAACTAACAACAAGAACAAAGTAAAACAGTGAAGTGCCCCACCTCCACCGGTGCATGTGGGGCCATGGCGCAGGGACAACGCAAGTTCCAGGCGCAGAAGTCGGAGCGGATCCGGGGGCCCGAGGAAGGGCGCTGAAACATCGCCCCCAAGAAGGCGCGAGTGGTGCAGCAACGAAAGCTCGAGGAGGACTTGGAGGTTGGCATCCGGAAAAAGATCGAACATGACGTCATGCTGAAAGCCAGCAGCAGTCTGCCCAGGAAGCTGGCTCTGCCGCAGGCCTCCGGAAAGAAGCGGGTACCCTCTGCCAAGAAGGCCTCCTGACGGCCTCCCCCCACTGTGGAACCTCCAGTGTG